GCTCGAGATCGACAGCAGCATGCACGACATCGTCTCTACCAACGTTGACCCTTCCAGCGTTGGCTGCATCAGCGTTGGCTATCCCAACGCTCCTGGTCATGCCGTCGTCAGGGACAACCACGACGGCAAGGCTGCCGATCGAATCTCAGCTCCATGCACAGGTACTTTTTCTTTCAATTCGGATTGCACGGTCAATTGCAGCATACAGGCAGCTACTGAGCCTGAATTCGACAACCACGCCTTCAGCGAGCGTGGCATCCTCAGGAAGGGCGCGGCCTCCCGCCTGCTGGGCGGCGGCCGCAAGGCCACGCAGCCGAAGGCCGAGGACATGAAGCTCCTCGAGGGGCTGCGCCTACTCTTGGGCGCTCCAGCGCAGGCGCCCCCCAAGCAGCCGCCGCAGCAGCCACAGCAGCCGCAGCAGCGACGGGGCAAACAGACCTTGCGAGAGGCGTTGCAGGACGCTCTCGGCTGGGCTCGGACGGACAACGCACTGAAGGGCAAGCTCGTGAAGATCCTCAGGGCAGTGGACGGTGGGCACATCACCCTGAGCGCGGACGGGAACAGCAGCGGCGCCCCTCCGGCGGGCGACAACAAAGGCAAGGGCGCCGCCGCGGCTCACAGCAGCGGCGGCGGCAAGGGCAAGGGCGGCGAGGCCGCCAACCTCGGCGCCACGGGCGCCAAAGCCAAGGACAAGACCGCCTCCGGGAACCCCAACGGCAGCGGCAAAGGCAAGGACAACGGCACCGGCAAGCCTCCCGCGAAGACTGGGAGTGGCGCTTGGTCGCTCTGGCAGCGCGACTGGCCGGATGCGACGCTCAGCCGGGCCGGCGCCGTGCTCGGCAAGCTCAGGCAGGCCGAGCTGCCCAGCAAGGGACAGACAGCCACCCTCGCCGACACCGTCGAGGAGGCCGACGAGATGCTCGCGCTCTGGCGGCAGCACTTCGGCGAGAACAGCGCGGGCGAGGAGGCCGCCAAGGACGCCAGCCTCACCGTGGGTGTCGTGGTCAATCCGGTGGCCGGCGTCTCCTGGAAGCCGTCAGGGGCGGCGCGCGCCGCCACCAAGCACATCACCCTGTCCAAGATGGAGCCGAACGAGTAGCTTCAGATCAAGCTGGTCGCCCTGGCCACGGTCGGCAAGGAGGTCACTGGACCTGCCGGCCCGGTCGTCCAGAGCGCCGCGAAGCTTCCAGTCAAGGTGGACACGATCACCGTGCGCCTCACGGTCTTCGATAAGTACATGGACGCCCTGAGCTTGGGGAACGCCAACGCCCTGCTCAAGCAGGTCTGGCCGGCCGGGGCGAAAGGCATGCAGTTGGGCAATTGGCGGCCCACGGGCTCGCACGACGAGGCCCAGAGCTACAACATGTACGTCACTGGTACCAAAGAGCAGGTCGACGCCCTCATTGCCATCAGCGGCAAGAAGGGCGTTTTCGTGGGGCACCTCGCCACGAACAGGAACAAGATGGCGCGCACTACGGTGTCGTGGGTGCCGCGGCCAGCGGACAGCACGGACAAGGAGTACCTCGAGATCGCCCTCCAAGCCGCAGCGGGCGCCCCGCTGGTCCACCGGATCGGCGGCGGGCCAGACCTCGGCTTCGAACGAGCGGGGATAGACGTCAAAGCGCCCCCGCCTTTCGTCTGGAAGGCCACGACTCCCAAGCGGTGGCGTTCAGATCAACTGGAGAGTTTCCTGACAGGGAACGGCTGGACGGAGCCGCAGGTGACCGGCGACCTGGGGCACGGTGTCTGGCGGTTCCGCGCCAAGGCGCGGCCCGCGGAAAGCACTTCGTACATGTGGGAGGGCGCCGACCCGTCCGAGAAGATCACTGCTCTGCCAATGCCGCGGAAGGTCAAGCAGGAGACGGTGGGCAAGCAGCTCCGCAGGCCCGCGCTCCCCTGGCTCGACGACGAGGACACCAAGCCAGACGACGACGTCGCCATGGACGACGCGGACAAGAAGGATCAGCCTGGCGCTGGAGGCCCTCCCGCGCCGGCAGCGGCCGCGGGCGGTCAGGGCGCCGACCAACAGGGAAAGCAGCAGGGCCAGCAGCCGCCCCGGGACCCAGCCACCAAGCAGGGCAAGGGCGCGGACGACGGCGACCGGGCCCACAAGCGGCTCAGGCTCGATGGCAACAACGTCATCAAGGACAAGACGTGCATCCTCGACGGCTACGAGGTAGTCGAAACCGGCGGCAAGGGTGCATGCGGCTACTGCGCGGTGGTGGGCTCGGGCAAGATGGCCAAGGACACCGCGGCCGATCTCAGCTCCCAGGAGGTGCTGGACAAGATCATGAAAGAGGCCGGCACCCTCCGGGTCCAGACGGTCCAGCACATGACCAACAACCCCGACGTGTGGGAGCCGTACTGGTGCTTCGACCCTAAGGCCGCGAGCCACACGGGACGCACGTGGGCCGAGTACCTGAACAAGTGCACGGACAACGCTTTCTACATGGACGAGCTCCAGCTCACGGCGACCGCGACGCGGCTCAAGCGGATGATCACGGTCGTCTACCGGGACGACAAGAACGGATGGGCCAGGAGGACCTTGGGCGACCAGTTCCGCAAGAAGGGGTGGTTCGTCTTGACGCTCGTGAATGAGCACTTCCAGGCAGTCCGCCCGGTGGCTTCTGGCTGGCCGGAGGCTCTCGCCGAGGACGTGGGGGGAAGCATGCCTTGCAAGGGCAGAGGAGGCGGCCGCTCGGTGCCACCCCCGGCCTCCACGAGCAGCAGGGCGCGCTCGCGACCCCCCGCCGGCGCCGGCCGGCACGCGCAGCAGGCAGCCTCACCAGCTACGGCGTTCTCCTGGGCCACGCGGAGCCGGGCTGGCAGCCGCGGCAGCAAGGCGGCGCGGGCCCACGCCCCGGCGCCTCGGCCACGAGCATCAACAACTTCCTCCTCTACTCCTCCCCTCCAATCTGGACACGACGACGTACGTGCTGAAGGCGGTCGTGGCGGTGGAGGGGGACGAGCTGTTCCAGGGAGCGCGAGGACGCCGGCGCAGGCCCCGCAGTCGCCGGCCTTCTCCTGGCTCTCTGAGGACACCTTCGCCAGGGACGCCGCGAGGCCGGCCAGCGCGGCGGGCCGTGGCCAGCCCGGCGCGCGGACGTCGCGGGCTGCAGGGGTTTCCTCGGAGCCACGGCTGGACGCAGCTCGAAAAACTCCACCTGCACTGTCGACGGCGGCTTTCTCGTGGCTCTCCGGAAGTGCCTCCGAGTGCAACAGCAGCATCAAGGGTGCCGCGCCGGTCGGTGCACGGACTACGAAGGCGCGGAGTTCCGCGGGCGCAGCTTCGCCCCGTTCTACGGCAGCTTTCTCCTGGCTCTCTGGCCGGCCGCAGGCCTCCGAGGGCGGGCCGCTGGCGCTGGCTTTGGCTCCCCCTCCGCCTCGAGGCCGGCAGGGTGGCCGACGCAGGCTCGCGAGGGCCCGCTCAGACGATCAGATCGCGTGCGAGGAGTTCGAGACGTTCCTCTGCTCTGCACGCGCGGCGTACTCGCACGAGGACCGGGCCCTTCCCGCAGCCCAGAAAGCGGAGATGGACGGGCTGACTGCTCAGATGCATCAGTGGCTGGACTCCTCGAGGGCCGGCGGCCGGGCCCCCACTCGAGCAGCCGTCAATGAGAAGCGCATCGAGTACGACGCGGCGCTCACCAGGTGTACACTTGCACACCCGCTCCGGGGAGACAGCTATGCCTGCCCCTGCGGCTGGCGGCCGAGCCCGGGCGCGGACTGGAAGACCAGCAACGACCTTGCACGTGCACATTGGTCAGCGTGCCAGCCTGGGCGGAGGTGGCCCCGGCTGCCGGCGGAGAAGAAAAGAGCCCTACTCACCAAGTATCGGGGCATCCACGTGGCCGGCTGCAGCGCAGCCGCCTGGGCGAAGTACGACGGGCGCATGGGCACCATGACGGGCGATTTCAAGGCGAAGTGCTGCGACCTCGACCGCACGGACCAGCAGTGCACCAAGAACACGATCGGCTGCAAGCTCACGGCCTTCAAGTGCACGCGGAGCGACGCATACGTCCAAAGGAACAGGGTCTGAGAAAGGCCGTGCCCTGCGGCGGGCAAGAGGCCGCTCGGGCAGAAGAAAGGCGGCGGGCCCTTGGACCTCCCCACGCTGTGGGAGTGGCGGGCTGCAGCCAAGGGCTTGTCTGGGCAAGCCGCCAAGGACAACGTGGCCGGGCAGGCCGCCAAGTCTAACGCGAAGAACCTGGCGTGGCAGCGCAAGCGGAAGCTCGACCGCACGGACGCGGAGAGGGCCGAGGACAACCGCAAGCGGAGGCCCGCGGCCAGGGCGGCGGCCAGCGGGGCTGCCACAGCGGCCGGCTGCTGACAAACGGCCGGCCGGCGCGTCCACTCCAGCAGGCGCGTCGGCCACTGGCCGTGGCACCACGCCACGCGCGGGGGGGAGGCGTCCAATCCTGGACCGCCCCAAGCAGGGAGGCCGCGGCAGGCTTCCGACGGACAGCTCCGAGTGTGGTCGTGCAACGTCAACGGCCTCAAAGACCAAGGCCCGGACCGCCGCCAGCAAGGCAGTGTGAACACGGGAAAATGGGACAGCGGTTTGGGGCCAGCTCGCCGAAGGCATCGGGCCCAGCAGCTGCGCGCTGCAGGAAGACGGACATGGACACTTTCAGTTAAGGCCCAGAACGCTTCGTGGGCGCAAGGGCCAGGGCGCGGGGGCCTTCGACAGCTGCTACACCGTCCCGCGAGCACCACACACCAACCACACCTCAGCCACTCACGAAACCACCACACCCCGAACACATGCCACTCCTCCCCACCCCCCACACCCACCCACCACACACCACCCCAACCACCCTCACCAACACCACCCCACACACACCAACCCACCCCGCACACACACATATCTTTTACTACCCTTCTACCACCCCACAACAGCCCACCACACCTCACACACCACCGCACACCACACCACAACCCCCCACACCACCCACCACCACACCCCCCACCACAACACCCACCACCACCACACCTCACCACCATCCACTAACACCACAACACAAACAGCTCGGCTGGGGTGGCGCTCCTTGGCCCGCCAGAGCTCCGCGTGGACCCCTGGGCGTGGGGCGGCAGGCACCAAGGCCGAGTGGTCTCTGGAATCCTCAGCGTCCGGGGCCAGGCCGACGTCTTGATCGTCGTCGTCTACGGAGACGTCAACAGCCAGGACAACCGCGCAAGCCTCTACGACGACGTGGCCGCGCGAGCCGCCCAGGCAGGACTGCCGACGATCGTTGTGGGGGATTTCAACTGCGAGCCCTACGACTCCGAGCTCTTCGCTTTCCGCGACATGAACTACTGCCACGAGATGCTGGACATTCAGGACATTACCACCCACGGGGAGAGGCTCCTGGACTTCGCCTGCTTGCAGCAGCTGGAGGCCCAGACCTTCGCCACGGACACGGCCATTAGCGACCACGACGCGATCGTTTTTGAGCTCTGGCGGGAGCTCCGGACGCAGGTGCAGACCGTGGTCAAGTTCGACGAGCTCAACCCGCCGCTCGCGACGGAGGACTGGGACGAGACCTTCTCCCAGACCATGGACAAGCGCAGAGACGAGTGGGACGGTGCAGCGGCCCGCCAGGATGTGGAAGCTATGTGGGCCCTCTGGTGCGACATGCTCGAGGACTCCGCCGGCGTCCCGGGCAACAGGCATCGGCGCAAACATGGCACCGTGCTCAAGCGCTGGGAACGGGTCTGCAAGGGCCCAGACGGACAGCGGCAGACGGTGGTCGAGAGACGTCTCCACAGGCTGCTCCGGCGTGTCCACCACGCCCTCGAAGGGCCCCGGGCCGGCTCCGACGGCCTCTCCCTCTTTGGCAATATCCGCAGCGGGGTACAGAGCCTCGTCGACGACGGCGTCCTGGGCGAGGGCACCGCGGCCGACGGCGAGGATTTGGCAGCGCTCCGCACAACGATCCTCGCGAAGCTCCAGCAGCTGGCCGAGGAGAACAAGCAGCGCCGGCTCGCGGCGTGGAGGGAGCGGCAGCAGGCTGGAGACCTCAAGGCAACTTTCCGTTACGTGGCCGACAGGCCCCCGCTCTCTGTGAAGGCGGCCTCAGACCAGCGTGGCCGGCCCACGGCCGACCCCAAGGCCATCGTCGCGGCAGCTGTGCGACAGTGGAAGAAGAAGCAGCACCCGCGTCTGGAGCAGCACCAGATCGGCGACTACCTCCGGGAGGTGAGGGACGTTGTCGAGCACGTGGAGCCGCCGGACATTGGCTGGATGTTCGAGGCGCCGGAGCTCCGGGCCGCCCTCCGAAAGACCGCCGGCACTGCGGCGGGCCCCGGGCAAATCAAAGCAGAGCAGCTCGCCCAGGCCCCTGGCATCGTGCTGGACCTCCTGGCAGACCTGGCAAACGCCATCAGAGACACGGGGACTTGGCCCGCGGCCCTCAAGGCGCAGGAGGTGACCATGATCCCAAAGACCAGTGACAAGCCCGACTTGCGGCCTATTGGCGTCGCCCAGTCTGTCGCCCGGGCCATCAGCAGGGTCGCTGTCAGCAAGTACAAGCAGTGGGCCAGCCAGGTCCAGCCCACGGATGCGCACGAGATCCTGCTCACGGTGGACCTCGCTATCGAAAAGGCCGCCCACGAGGGCACCCCGCTGCACATTCGCCAGAGCGACCTCTCGAACTGCTTCACGCGGATCCAGCCGGAGCTCGTGGTCGAGGTTGCCGTGCTCTTCGGCATGCACCGAAAGGACGCAGTGCTCCTCTTCATGAACAATGTCCGCCGCGACGCGGTGGTCAAGGTGAGCGGCTACGCCAGCGACTTGCTCCTGGTGCTGCGCGGCCTGGCACAAGGCGACCCCGCCTCTCCGCTCGGCGCAGCTATCCTGGCGGGCGCCCACGCGCGCAAGGTCTGCTCCGTCTTCGATGTGGGCATGGGCACCTACGTGGACGACCGGACCACCTACGCCAACGACAGGGACACCCTGGACGGCGCCGAAGCCCTGCTCAGGCGCCTGGACGAGCTGAGCGGCCAGAAGGAGGACGACAGCAAGCAGGACAGGGCGGCGGTGAACGTCGCCGGCGGCCAGAACAAGGACCACCTCGACTTGCTCGGCGTGCGGCTGGACCTCACTGGCCGGAAGCCGCCAGCGGCCGCCCCGCGAGCCAGGAAGCGGGTGGCCAACCTGCTCGACAAGCTGCGTCGGCTGCGCACCGTGGCCAAGGCAGCGCGCCTCGGGCGCAGGGCAAGGAAGCGGGTCGTCATGGCCCTGGCGGGCAGCATTCGGTGGGACGCGCCGTGGTGCTCGTTCCCCAAGGAGACCGTGACCCGCGTCCGGTCTGCCATGGAGTTGGCACTGGAAAGCAGACGCAGGCACGCAGCCTGGCGCCACAAGGGCGCGGCATGGTGCATGGAGGACAAGGCCTGGAAGTTCGAGCCCGACGGCCTCGCGCTCTCCAGCACAGTGAGCATGCTCAGACGCGTCGCCCGCACCCACTTGGGGCCCGCGGTGGAGGCGCGGTGGGACCACTGCGACGGCAGCGGCCTGCGCTGGCTGGACCGGGTCCGCGGGGTCCTGGAGACCATGGGCTGGCACCCCGGCCCGTCGCCCTTCGAGGTCGCCTTCGGCGGTGACGGCTTCCACCTCGCGGAGGTGTCAAAGAGCTTTCTGGACCACTGCGTCCGCGAGACGTGGCGGGCCCACATGATGCGGACCTGCAGAATAACCGCCAGGAAGGTGCCGGTCGAGGTGCCGAGCTTGGACGTCAAGACGTTGCGGCGCTTCGTGGAGGAGGCGCCGACGGCCGCGGAGCAGAGGTGGCGGTGGCGATGCTGTGTTGGCGCCGAGCCTTCTCCAGACCGCCTCAGCCACGTCACGGACGAAGTGGCGCATGACTGCCCCATCTGCCACACTGCTGCGACCACGTGGCACTTGATGTGGCGGTGCGACGCCACCGAGCATGAGCGGCAGCGCCGGGGCCTCCACGAGGCCACCATCGGCAGGCATCTGCCTCAGCACGAACGGTCCGCCCTTCTTCTCAATGGGTGGGCGAGGGCCGAATGGGACCCCCCTGACGGCCAGTCGCATGATGCGCACCGCGCGGCCGCCAAGGGCCAGGGGAAGCTCGCCTTGAACATCCTGCGCTTGAAGGACCGGGTCCTGAAGCGCTACTGGGACATCTTCGTGGGCATCGCGCCGGAAGCGGGCCACGGCAGCAACCAGGCCGCGAGGCAGGGCAGACCACTGCCACGAGCAGGCCCTCCCTCCTCCTCCCCCCTCCTGCCTGCACGAGGAGCACGTCGAGGAGGTCGAGGAGGAGGGCGAGGACGACGAGGACGAGGCGGAGGAGGCAGGGCGGCGCTGCCGGCCCTCTCCCGTCCCGACACGAGCAACCAGACGCCGGCCGGGCTGGCGAACCAGGACATCCCGCAGCACGCCGGGGACAGGGACATTTCGCAGCACGCCGCGGCGGCAGCTGCGCCGGCCGACCGGCCACGAGCACCTTCCTCTCCCCCCCTCCTCCCATCCAGCCTGCAGGATGAGGATTTTCGTGGAGGGCGTGGACGTGGACGCGGAGGACGAGGAGCAGCAGGAGGCAGAGGCAGCGCGTCGCCGTCGCCGCCGTTCTCTTGGCTCAGCGCAGAACAGCAGCTTCAGCCGCAAGGCGCCTAGCGGAAGCATGATGGATCGTAAGACTTTGTCATCTTGGTTCATCGACACAGCTTCCTGACCTCCAAGAACACCTTCCTGGACCATCCGTCGCCCTGGATTGACTACGTCACCGTGGGAGACCGCCCCAAGTCGGATCCCACCTCAAACGCAACATCGTCCTCAACGGCGGAGGTGGCAAGCAGCGGAGGGAACTCCTGGGTAGAAGAATTCGGGGGAGGTCGTCTGCCGAAGGAGGAGGACGCCAAGCAGCAGTCTGGCAGGAGCTCGGAGAAGGGTGGGAACGACAGCTCGGATGGTTCGCGCATGTCGTTGAAGCCTCAGTCGATCAGCAGGTCACAGCGGCGTCGCATGCAGCGGAAGGCCATGGAAGCTCATTTCAGGGGGGCAAATGGCCCCCATTCCGCTGCAGAGCACACCGCGAAGGGCAGCTCGGACGCCATGCGAAGTGGCACCAGCACCAAGATCTCTCTGTGATTGCCCTTGGGGCGGCTAGGGTCCCAGTAGACCGCAGCAGGCTCTCTGGCCAAGCGCTGGTTCAGGGGCGGCGGGAGGACTGGAGAGGCGGGAGGATAAGGAGGAGGAGGAGGAGGAGGAGGAGGAGGAGGAGAAGGAGGAATGGCCATGGGCGCTCTCT